ACATGACAATACACAGCTCAGAGAAATGCTGCAGACAAAAAAAGAACTGGTAGGCAGGATGAAAACGTAAGTGATCCAACACCTCTAGAGGGTTTATTATTGTTAAATCATCACAACACAAAGCTTTAGTGTTTGGATACATAGATGAGTTAAAAAAAGAGAACACATGTCTTTGGGCACAGATCATTAATATTCATTCACTTTTCATTACTACTTTATAAGCTGATCTGTTGACAGCACCATGGAGTACATCATCTACAGTTTAGTTTGTAGCCAGCTGTGGCGTTGATGCATTTACAAAATACCCACACAAAAAATATCAAATTAAATGTAGCAGACATAAAAAGACAGGTCTCCAGTTGGCATGAGGTGTCAAGAGGTTTTTCGAGTATGTTTTTCAATGTGCTGCAATTCTGTGGCTCCTCATTTCTGCGACTTGTGTGTTTTAATCATGAGCCACCAGAACTGAATTGCCTCCAACAAATTTTTGAAATACAAGGCTACTTGCCTGTATGTGATTTCATGTGGTTTATCAAATGACACTCATCAAAGTATCTTTTCCCACAGATCTGGCAAAGGTGCGGCTTCTCACCAGTGTGGGCTCTTCTCATGTGGGCCAACAACTGATAACTGCGTCTGAAATCCTTTCCACATGTCTTGCAAGAATACGGTCTCTCACCTGTGTGGGTTCTCATGTGGACTAACAAGGTACTATTCTGTCGAAAATCTTTTCCACAGGTTTTGCAAGAATACGGTCTCTCATCTGTGTGGCCTCTCATATGGACTAACAGATGATAACTGCGTCCAAAATCTTTTCCACATGTTTTGCAAGAATATGGTCTCTCACCTGTGTGGATTCTTGCATGAGCTTTCAAATCATTTGTCCGAGTGAATCCTTTCCCACATGTCTCACATTTAAACGGCCTCTCACCTGTGTGGATTCTCATGTGAACTAACAAGGTACTATTCTGTCGAAAATCTTTTCCACAGGTCTCACAAGAATATGGTTTCTCACCTGTGTGGATTCTTGCATGAGTTTTCAAATCATTTGTCCGGGAAAATCGTTTCCCACATGTGCTGCAAGAATATGGCTTCTCTCCTGTGTGGGTTCTCATGTGATCAACCAATTGGTTCTTATATCGGAAATCTTTTCCACATGTTTTGCAACAATACGGCTTCTCACCTGTGTGGACTCTTTTATGAACGTTCAGAGATGACAATTGACGGAAATCTTTCCCACATGTGTTACAACAATACGGCTTCTCTCCTGTGTGGATTCTCAGGTGTCTATCAAATTGAGACTTCAACTTGAAAGCTTTCCCACAAGTGTCACATTTAAAAGGTGTTTTACCTGTGTGAGTATTATGATCAATCTCTGATAAGTTGGGGTTGTCTACACGCTTAGTGTGACTTCTGCGCTTCTGACGTCTATTCTGTTCTTCTGTCTCTGCTTCTCCACTTGATGTTGAGTCTCCTTGCTCGTCTCCTTCCTCATCTTCACTCTCAGCTCCATGAGAGCTGTGACAGAGGAGCTGCTGCTCACTTTCCTCATCACTAGGAGTCACTAGAAAGGTCTCAGTCTCCTGCTTCACTTCAAGCTGCTCTCCCTCCTGACTGCTGCACACTTCCTCCTCTTCCTCTTTAATCTGTGGAGGCTCTGGCTCCTCTTGGTCCACACTGGACTTCCTCTCCTCAATACAGAGCTGCTGCTCAGCGACAACCTCCTCCTCCTTACACACATCTTGCTGTGGGAGCTCTGGAGGGACACACAACAAAAGGAACACATATTACTCTGATGGCAAACAAGAAAATGCTCACATGCGAGCTGGTTTTATAAATATTAGTCTTCTCTTTTGTGGTATTAAAATAATAAAGTGCTACTCACCTGTCCTGTATAACCTTACTTCCGGTTTCCAAGCTATATCCAACAGTCTGCGCTGACGGTCGATCTCTTTCTCGTACTCGACGATAGTTTTCTCAAAAACTCCCAATATTTCTTCAGCAGCAGCAGTTAGTCTCTCGCTGACAAACCCTCTCAAATACTCAACTGAAGACATTGTTGCTTTTTCACAATTACAGTCACTCCAACTTTTCCTCATGGACAAACTTGCTTAAATTCCCTCGCGACTGGTGCGTTTGTTTACTTCCGCCGGATGTTACACTGATAAGTTCCGACTGTGGGGCGTATGTTGTTTTTTTGTTCCCCCTTTAATTGTTTAAAACCAAACCAGCATCAGTGCAGAGACGAGTTGTCCGAATATAATTTGTTGAACTCAGCAGAGGAACTGTCGCCACTTAATTTTATGTCCTCATCAAATCCTGAACGAGTAAACTACACGAAGTAGTCAAGGTGTCTCAACTTTGAGCACTTTTTGACACCCACTCGCAAATTATGACATTTACATACAAGTTTGATGACAATAAACTCATCAACATGACCAGCCAATACAATATACAATTAAGAGAAATGCAGCTGCTGCAAACATAAATGAATTAATAAATAACATTTTAAAAAGGACGGAAAAGGACTCGCTGTAAGATGAAAACATTATTGATCCAACACTAGAGGGTTTGTTAATTGAAATCATCAACATACAAAGCTTTTCTAACTCTCAGACCTGGAGACACTGTGCTGGAAAAACTCGATTCACTTTTTCATCACGCCCAAACAGATGTTTAAACAAACTGTCACCCAGCTATGCTGCTGGAAGGAATGTGGAGAAATCATGGTTGACCATGTCCATATTTTCTGTTCTTGTCCTTCTGTTCAGACTCTCTAAAGGAATTAGCAACAATCATTTCAAAAACTTTGAGTTTTAAGATAAGAGATAAGATTGGATAATATAACATTGGATTAGTTAAAATGAGATAAGACAAGATAAGAGATAAGCTAAGAGAAGAGAAGAGAAGAGAAGAGAAGAGACAATGAGATAAGATAAGATTGCATAAAATAAGATGAGCTAAGCGAAGCTCAGCTAAGCTTAACCGGGGTCATCCCTATGTTTCCAGGGTTCTATGTTCCCCACTTACAACCCAAATAGGTTCTATGTTTCCCGGGTTCTATGTTCCCCGCTCAACCAAAAAGGGTTCTATGTTTCCCGCTTGGTTGAGCGGGGAACATAGAACCCGCGATACATAGATACGCTCCCAGCTAACCTAAGGTAAGATAAGATAAGATTGGATAAGGGATAAGCAAAGCTAGGCTAGGCTAAGCTAAGATTGGATTAGAGATAAGATATGCAAAGATAAGATTGGATAAGAGACAAGCTAAGATAAGGGATAAGCTAAGCTAGGTTTAGCTAAGATAAGATTGGATAAGATAAGATAGGATTGGATAAGATAAGAGATAGGATAAACTAAGCTCAGACAAGATCGGACAAGATAAGATAAGGGGGCGATCACACAGAAATGAGACGCGGACGCTGCAAAGACGGTTGAAACGCTGGAAGCGCTTATTCAATGCGTGCTAGCTACTGGTGTCTGATGCTCAAAAAGTTGAAAATATTTTAACTTTTCAGCGCCTACGCACATCTAAATAGAAGTGTCTACAAAAACGCGCATCTAAAAAGACACCGGAAAAACAGCCTTCTAAAAAGACGCATGAACACCGGTCAGATGTGCCGTATCATAGGAAAGCAATGGTTTTACTGGCGTTGCATTTCTGGCATTTCATCTCGGTGTGATCGCTCCCTAAGACAAGATAAGATAGGACTGGATAACATAATTTGAGACAATAGAAGATAGGATAAGATATGAGACAAGCTAACCCAAGATAAGCTAAGAGAAGACACAAGCTAAGCTAATTTAGGTTAGATAAGTCGGGATAAGATAAGAGACAAGCGAAGCTAAGCTAAGATAAGCTGCGCTACGCTAAGATTGTAAAAGAAAATAAAAAAACAGTAACAGAGCAGTGGCTTCCTGCTCCAGTACTGTGCTCATGAAAATGTGTGAAATATTTGTTACGGAGTGTCTTAATTTTGAGCAGTTTTTGACAACCATTTGCAAATTAGGGGTTTTATGGAAATAGAGTTATCAACATTACCAACCATAATACATGACAATACACAGCTCAGAGAAATGCTGCAGACAAAAAAAGAACTGGTAGGCAGGATGAAAACGTAAGTGATCCAACACCTCTAGAGGGTTTATTATTGTTAAATCATCACAACACAAAGCTTTAGTGTTTGGATACATAGATGAGTTAAAAAAAGAGAACACATGTCTTTGGGCACAGATCATTAATATTCATTCACTTTTCATTACTACTTTATAAGCTGATCTGTTGACAGCACCATGGAGTACATCATCTACAGTTTAGTTTGTAGTCAGCTGTGGCGTTGATGCATTTACAAAATACCCACACAAAAAATATCAAATTAAATGTAGCAGACATAAAAAGACAGGTCTCCAGTTGGCATGAGGTGTCAAGAGGTTTTTCGAGTATGTTTTTCAATGTGCTGCAATTCTGTGGCTCCTCACTTCTTTGACTTCTTGTGTGTTTTAACCATGAGCCACCAGAACTGAATCGTCTCCAATATGATTTTTGAAATACAAGACTACTTGCCTGTATGTGATTTCATGTGGTTTATCAAATAAGACTCATCAAAGTATCTTTTCCCACAGATCTTGCAAAGGTACAGCTTCTTACTGGTGCAGGCTCTTCTCGTGTGGACCAACAAATTACAACTGCGTCTGAAATCCTTTCCACATGTCTTGCAAGAATACGGCTTCTCACCTGTGTGGATTCTCATGTGGACTAACAAGGTACTATTCTGTCGAAAATCTTTTCCACAGGTCTTGCAAGAATATGGTCTCTCACCTGTGTGGATTCTTACATGAGCTTTCAAATCATTTGTCCGAGTGAATCCTTTCCCACATGTCTCACATTTAAACGGCTTCTCACCTGTGTGGATTCTCATGTGGACTAACAAGGTACTATTCTGTCGAAAATCTTTTCCACAGGTCTCGCAAGAATATGGTCTCTCACCTGTGTGGATTCTTGCATGAGCTTTCAAATCTGTTGTCCGAGAGAATCGTTTCCCACATGTGCTGCACGAATATGGCTTCTCACCTGTGTGGGTTGTCAGGTGGTGATTCAAGACAGCTCTATGTATGAAATCCTTCCCACATGTCTCACATTTAAATGGCTTTTCTATTGTGTGGATTTTCATGTGGCCAATCAAGTGGCTCTTACATCGAAAATCTTTTCCACATGTTTTGCAACAATACAGCTTCTCACCTGTGTGGATTCTTTTATGAACGTTCAGAGTTGACATATCACTGAATTTGTTCCCACATGTGTTGCAAGAATACGGCTTCTCTCCTGTGTGGATTCTCAGGTGTCTATTAAAATGATACTTAAACTTGAAAGCTTTCCCACAAGTGTCACATTTAAAAGGTGTTTTACCTGTGTGAGTATTATGATCAATCTCTGATAAGTTGGGGTTGTCTACACGCTTAGTGTGACGTCGTCTCTGTTCTTCTGTCTCTGCTTCTCCAGTTGATGTTGAGTCTCCTTGCTCGTCTCCTTCCTCATCTTCACTCTCAGCTCCATGAGAGCTGTGACAGAGGAGCTGCTGCTCACTTTCCTCATCACTAGGAGTCACTAGAAAGGTCTCAGTCTCCTGCTTCACTTCAAGCTGCTCTCCCTCCTGACTGCTGCACACTTCCTCCTCTTCCTCTTTAATCTGTGGAGGCTCTGGCTCCTCTTGGTCCACACTGGATTTTCTCTCCTCAATACAGAGCTGCTGCTCAGCGACAACCTCCTCCTCCTTACACACATCTTGCTGTGGGAGCTCTGGAGGGACACACAACAAAAGGAACACTACTGTGATGGAAAACAAGAAAATGCTCACATATTTGACGACATTGTCAACTTTACACTGAAATATATTTCTCTCTATATTGTCGAGTCATACAATCTGACTTCAATCAAACTTATCACTGATGAATGTCCCTAATGGTTCCTGCAAGAAAGAAGAACATGCTCCACTGACTCCTTAACTCCACACTTGCTACAGTGACCAGTTGGATGTTTTCCTTGTTAACTTGGAATTCTCTTCTATTATATTATTTACGATTCTCATCCCTGCGCCACTCTAGAGGAAAAGTGGTTCTCCTCCATGCGGGCGGGATGCACGCGCATTGCGTAGTGTGAGTTAGTGAAACAAATGTAAACTCTGAGGTTGTACCAGTACTGGTGGCTATAACCACATGTTGAGTCAATAAAAGTGACTAAAAGAAATAAACGTTGTGTTTCTTCAAGTAAGAGTTAACACTGGTAGCAGAGGATGGTTGGAAGATGGCTGCAAAGTATAAAGTACCGCTGAAGTTCGACGAGACCAGGCCATACGAGTGTTGGAAAAATGAAGTCAACATATGGACGCGGGTCACTGAACTCGACAACAAGAAGCAGGTGCTGGCGGTTGCGTTGGGACTGGAAGGAAAAGGAGAGAGCATACGAAGTGTATTCTCATTTTGATGGCATAACGAAAGACAGTTCAGTTTCAATGGCCAACTACATTATCGACTTTGAACAGCGATACAACCGGATGAAAAAGTATAACATGACGCTCCCAGGTGCTGTGTTAGCCTTTACACTGTTGGACACAGCTTGTCTCTACGAGAGAAACAGACAACTTGCACTGACAGCATGTACAGAGCTGATGTTCTCATCAAAGAAGTCGGCACTCAAGCAGATTTTTGGAAGGAACATGGCAGTCTCGTCACAAGGAATACAACTAAACCGCCCGAGACGCAGCTTTCCTCACAGAACAACGACAAGGAAAAGTGAAACAGTGCACGACATTTCAAAGTGGACAACAAAAGCAACCGCTGCCAGGTACCAACCCACTGGATAAGTTTGGTAAGCGGTCAAGATGTGTGGTGTGTCAAAGCACTTTTCACTGGGCTAAGGACTGCCCCCACAAGAAGAGCGAACAAGTACGATTAACAGAAGATGAAACTGTAGAGGAAGTTAACATCACGTTGTTAACTAAATCCCCCATGTCTGACTCTGACATTTTTCTGACTGAATCCCTAGGATCAGCTATCATAGACACTGCTTGCACTCGTACAGTATGTGGGGAGAAATGGCTTGACAGTTATGTTGATGATCTCACTGAGGAACAAGTGAACAAGATTATGGAAACAGAAAATCCCAGTTGTATACCATTTCGGTTTGGAGATGGGAATTTAGTGTATTCCACCAGAAAAGTGAAGCTACCTGCTAAAATAGGACAAACAAAATGTCACATTGAAACTGAAGTGGTCAAAGCTAACATTCCACTACTGCTGAGTAAAACATCCCTGAAGAAGGCAGGAGCTGTTTTAGACATGGAGAATGACAGAGCAGTGATGTTTAAGCAACCTGTACCACTTGAATTCACTAGTTCAGGACACTACTGTGTGGATATAAGAGACAAAGATAGCATAAGAAGTCAAATCAAAGATGTGGTACTAGCAGCCACAGATGGAGAGTCAAACTGAAGATGAGGCCCTGACAGTGACAGAGAACATGAGAAACGCAAAGTCCTTCTCAAGGTTCACAAACAGTTTGGCTATGCCTCAACAGACAGGCTGCAGAGATTTTCTCCATGATAATAATTTATTTGAGGAATTTCAGTCAGGATTTAGAGTGCATCATAGCACTGAGACAGCACTAGTTAAAATTACAAATGACCTTCTGATTGCTTCAGACAAAGGACTTGTCTCTGTACTTGTTTTATTAGATCTTAGTGTGGCGTTTGACACAATTGACCATCAAATTCTACTGCATAGACTGGATCACTTAATTGGCTTAAAAGGTTCTGCACTAAGCTGGTTTAAATCTTATTTATCTGATCGTTTTCAGTTTGTTGACGTTCATAATGAATCATCCTTACGTACCAAAGTTTGTTTTGGAGTTCCGCAAGGTTCTGTGCTCGGACCAATCCTATTTACTCTATATATGCTTCCTTTAGGTAACATCATTAGAAATCACTCTATAAATTTCCATTGTTATGCGGATGATACTCAGTTGTATTTATCGATGAAGCCAGAAGAAAGTAATCAATTAACTAAACTCCATAACTGCCTTAAAGACATAAAAACTTGGATGAGCACCAATTTCCTGATGTTAAATTCAGACAAAACTGAAGTTATTGTTCTTGGCCCCAAACAACTCAGAGACTCTTTATCTGATGACATAGTTTCTCTAGATGGCATTGCTCTGGCCTCTAGCACTACCGTAAGAAACCTCGGAGTAATATTTGATCAAGATTTGTCTTTTAATTCTCATTTAAAACAAACCTCACGGACTGCATTTTTTCATCTGCGTAATATTGCAAAAATTAGGCCTATCCTGACCCGAAAAGATGCAGAAAAATTGGTCCACGCTTTTGTTACCTCTAGGCTGGATTACTGTAACTCTCTATTATCAGGTAGCTCTAGTAAGTCCTTAAAAACTCTCCAGCTAATTCAGAATGCAGCAGCACGTGTACTAACAGGAACTAAGAAACGAGATCATATTTCTCCTGTTTTAGCTTCTCTGCACTGGCTCCCTGTAAAATCCAGAATTGAATTTAAAATCCTACTGTTAACTTATAAAGCTCTAAATGGTCAAGCTCCGTCATATCTTAGAGAGCTCATAGTGCCATATTATCCCACCAGAACACTGCGCTCTGAGAACGCAGGGTTACTCGTGGTCCCTAAAGTCTCCAAAAGTAGATCAGGAGCTAGAGCCTTCAGCTATCAGGCTCCTCTCCTGTGGAATCATCTTCCTGTTACGGTCCGGGAGGCAGGCACCGTCTCCACATTTAAGACTAGACTTAAGACTTTCCTCTATGATAAAGCTTATAGTTAGGGCTGGCTCAGGCTTGCCCTGTACCAGCCCCTAGTTAGGCTGACTTAGGCCTAGTCTGCTGGAGGACCCCCTATAATACACCGGGCACCTTCTCTCCTTCTCTCTCTCTCTCTCTTGTATTCTATTACTGCATCTTGCTAACTCGGCCATTCTGGATGTCACTAACTCAGCTTCTTCTCCGGAGCCTTTGTGCTCCACTGTCTCTCAGATTAACTCATATCGCAGCGGTGCCTGGACAGCGTGACGTGTGTGGTTGTGCTGCTGCCGTGGTCCTGCCAGATGCCTCCTGCTGCTGCTGCCATCATTAGTCATTAGTCATACTTCTACTGTTATTATACACATATGACTATTGTCACACATGTATACTGCCAGATATTAATACATACTTTCAACATATTGTACCACAGTAGCCAGAACTATAACTATAATATTATTACTTTCAATAATGTTGTTGTAAGCTACTGTCATTACCTGCATCTCTCTCTCTCTCTCTCTCTCTCTCTCTGTCTCATTGTGTCATGCGGATTACTGTTAATTTATTATGCTGATCTGAACTGATTCTGTACGACATCTATTGCACGTCTGTCCGTCCTGGAAGAGGGATCCCTCCTCAGTTGCTCTTCCTGAGGTTTCTACCGTTTTTTTTTTCCCCGTTAAAGGGGTTTTTTGGGGAGTTTTTCCTTATCCACTGTGAGGGTCATAAGGACAGATGGATGTCGTATGCTGTAAAGTCCTGTGAGGCAAATTGTGATTTGTGATATTGGGCTTTATAAATAAAATTGATTGACTAATTGATTGATTGATTGACTTATTCAAAGCTCAGGGAATAAAGACAAAGAATGCCTCACTATTTTGCAACAAATAGTACATTAATGTGACATATGCCAGAGGTACAGCAAGATCAAGCCAAAGCCGGCTGTGGGTCTGCCTCTAGCTACGGAGTATAATGAAACGGTGGCAGTGGACCTGCACGAGTTAGAACCTGGTCTATGGTTTCTACATATTATTGACCATTTCACACATTTCAGTGCATGAAATATTGTGAAGACAAAGAAATCCTCTGAAATTGTCAACTCCTTCATTCACACATGGGTAAGCGTCCATGGTCCATGGAGATTATACAGTGATAATGGCGGAGAATTCAACAATGAGGAGTTCAGAGACATGGCTGAGAACTTCAACTTTAAGACGAGAACAACAGCAGGATACAGTCCATGGAGCAACAGCCAACTGGAAAGGCACAATCAGATTCTCACAGACATCATCCAGAAGGTGAAACGAGAAAATGGATGTGACTGTCTGGCACACAGCCCTAGACTGGGCCCTCATGGCTAAGAACTGTTTGCATAATGTTCATGGTTATAGTCCACATCAACTTGTTTTTGGTCAGAACCCAAACCTCCCCCCTGTATTAGTTGATGAGCCACCTGCACTAGAAGGCACTACAGTGAGTGTGAGGGTAGGAGAACACATATTAGCTTTGCACACTTCTAGGAAAGCCTTCAAGCTGAATGTTCAGAGAGGATTAGAAGAGCACTGCGAAAAATATGAGGCAGGAGACAAAGTCTAATACAAACGAGCTGACAGCGCAGAATGGAAGGGACCAGGGGTAGTTATTGGTCAGGATGGAGCTGTTGTATTTGTTCGGCATGGTGGAACCCTTGTTAGAGTGCATCACTCAAAGCTTAATAAGGTACACACGCAAGAAGAGGAAAAGCAAACTGGTGATGCTCGCAGTGAAACAAAAGGTGAGAAAGGCATCAAAAACAGAGTAGCAAATAGTGAACAGGACAGTGACAGAGAGGTAAATACTAAAGGAGCAGTACACCCACTAGTGAGCCAAACCCAAACCAATGTGACGCAAACGGCAATGGAGCAAAATGTCAGTGGTAACCCTGTTTCTTCTACAGGCGTAAAGTTAAAAACAGGACAGACTGTAACCTTTATGAAAAGTGATGAATGTGTTCCATACAGAGCCAAAGTTTTAGGCAGAGCAGGCAAAGCCACAGGACAGCACAAAGATTGGTATAACCTACAACATATTGAACCTGATGGCAGTTATGGACAAAAGGAGGCAGTTGACATGTCAGGGATGCTGATGGTCTTATAACAAAAGACATCTCATTTGACACAGCTAAACAGGACGAAATAAAGAACTGGCACAATAATGATGTTTTTGAGAAAGTTGAGGATGCAGGTCAAAAGTGTGTTTCCACCAGATGGGTCTGTAGTCTCAAAGAAACTGACAAGGGTATTGTGCCTAAAGCCAGACTGGTAGCCAGGGGTTTTGAAGAATTTAATATCCAAGAGCTACAGAAAGATTCCCCAACCTGTGCCTCAGAATCTCTAAGGTTACTGTTAACAGTAATTTGTCAAAATAAGGGGCAGGTCCATTCCATGGACATCAAATCTGCATTTTTTGCAGGGCATGAAACTGTCTAGGGATCCACTAAAGGCACTTTTCTGTTTTCTTAAAAAAAGAATAGGGAGATTGTCAACTTGGAATTCTCTTCTATTATATTATTTACGGTTCTCATCCCTGCACCACTCTAGAGGAAAAGTGGTTCTCCTCCATGCGGGCGGGACGCATGCGCAGTGTGAGTTAGTGAAACAAAAGTAAACTCTGAGGTTGTACCGGTAGTGGTGGCTATAACCACATGCTGAGTCAATAAAAGTGACTAAAAGAAATAAACGTTGTGTTTATTCAAGTAAGAGTTAACATTCCTAATACAAGAAGTGTACTATTAAAGTAGCTGTGACCTGTTCTTAATCTGCATATAATTACTTGCTCTTTCCTGTTGTCTCCCCTATTTTAACCCCCGTACTTTGTTTTAAACTTCATGTAAGTGTCTTTCTTTTGTCGCACTATCTCACTTCTGACAGTGAAGTGTCTGTTTGTCTTTGTTCCACTTACAGTTGTTGGCATTTTTATGATACACTGAGTAACACCAGCATCAGGGCTGTAACCAGCTGTCTCATTATCATTTGTTTTACAAAAAGGCGACAGTAACAAAGCAGAGGATTTCTGCTGTATTTAAACTAAGCATGGGAGCTGTTGTGTTGGGTTGACAGTTATCAACATCACCAACACATGACAATACACAGCTCAGAGAAATGCTGCAGACAAAAAAAGAACTGGTAGGCAGGATGAAAACGTAAGTGATCCAACACCTCTAGAGGGTTTATTATTGTTAAATCATCACAACACAAAGCTTTAGTGTTTGGATACATAGATGAGTTAAAAAAAGAGAACACATGTCTTTGGGCACAGATCATTAATATTCATTCACTTTTCATTACTACTGTATAAGCTGATCTGTTGACAGCACCATGGAGTACATCATCTACAGTTTAGTTTGTAGTCAGCTGTGGCGTTGATGCATTTACAAAATACCAAAAAATACCAAATTAAATGTAGCAGACAAAAAAAACAAGACCCGAGTTGACATGAGGTGTCAAGAGGTGTTTTAAGTGTGTTTTTCAACGTGCTCCTCACTTCTCTGAGTTCCTGTGAATTTAAACCATGAGCCATAAGAACTGAATTGTCTCCTATATGTTTTCTGAAATACAAGGCTACTTGCCTGTATGTGATTTCATGTGTCTTGTTAAATGGGACCCATCAAAGTATCTTTTCCCGCAGATCTTGCAAAGGTATGGCTTCTCACCGGTGTGGGCTCTTCTTGTGTGGACTAACAATGTACTGCTCTGTCCAAAATCTTTTCCACAGGTTTTGCAAGAATACGGCTTCTCACCTGTGTGGACTCTCATGTGGACTAACAAATGATAACTGCGTCCAAAATCTTTTCCACATGTTTTGCAAGAATACGACTTTTCACCTGTGTGGATTCTTGCATGAGCTTTCAAATCTGCTGTCTGAGAGAATGTTTTCCCACATGTGCTGCAAGAATATGGCTTCTCTCCTGTGTGGGTTCTCATGTGGCCAGTCAAGTGACTCTTATATCGGAAATATTTTCCACATGTGTTGCAACAATATGGCTTCTCACCTGTGTGGACTCTTTTATGAACGTTCAGAGTTGACATATGACTGAATGTTTTCCCACATGTTTTGCAACAATACGGCTTCTCACCTGTGTGGATTCTTTTATGAGTGTTCAGAGATGACATTCGATTGAATGTTTTCCCACATGTCTTACAACAATACGGCTTGTGTTTATTCAAATACCACTTAAACTTGAAAGCTTTCCCACAAGTGTCACATTTAAAAGGTGTTTTACCTGTGTGAGTATTATGATCAGTCTCTGATAAGTTGGGGTTGTCTACACAGTTAGTGTGACTTCTGCGCTTGTGACGTCTATGCTGTTGTTCTGTCTCTGCTTCTCCACTTGATGTTGAGTCTCCTTGCTCGTCTCCTTTCTCATCTTCACTCTCAGCTCCATGAGAGCTGTGACAGAGGAGCTGCTGCTCACTTTCCTCATCATTAGGAGTCACTAGAAAGGTCTCAGTCTCCTGCTTCACTTCAAGCTGCTCTCCCTCCGCTTCCTCTTTAATCTGTGGAGGCTCTGGCTCCTCTTGGTCCACACTGGATTTTCTCTCCTCAATACAGAGCTGCTGCTCAGCGACAACCTCCTCCTCCTTACACACATCTTGCTGTGGGAGCTCTGGAGGGACACACAATAATAGGTACACATATTACTCTGATGGCAAACAAGAAAATGCTCACATGCGAGCTGGTTTTATAAATATTAGTCTTCTCTTTTGTGGTATTAAAATAATAAAGTGCTACTCACCTGTCCTGTATAACCTTACTTCCGGTTTCCAAGCTATATCCAACAGTCTGCGCTGACGGTCGATCTCTTTCTCGTACTCGACGATAGTTTTCTCAAAAACTCCCAATATTTCTTCAGCAGCAGCAGTTAGTCTCTCGCTGACAAACACTCTCAAATACTCAACTGAAGACATTGTTGCTATGTCACAATTACAGTCACTCCAACTTTTCCTCATGGACAAACCTGCTTAAATTCCCTCGCGACTGGTGCATTTCTGTTGTTTACTTCCGCTGGTGTTACACCATTAAGTTCCGACAGTCTTCTTCTTCTTTGGTTTCGGCGGACTAGACGCGTCCAAGGCGTATTGCTGCCCTCTTCTGTTTTCATGCGATTTCTTCGAGTGCTTAATCATATTCTGTTGTATATTCCAGTGTAATGTAGATACTGTAGCAGCAGCTTCATCTTGATCCAGTCTTCCATATTCAGCAGTGTGTACATGTTAAAGACAGTCTCTCCAGCTGCTCCCTATTCTCTGAGAAGTTTCCTCCTTTGAGGAAACTCTTGCATTGTAAAATAACATGGGTCACAGTCTCTGGTTCTCCACACTCACATTGTCCATCCGGGTGCTTCCCAATCAGGGCCAGCCCACTTCTAAGACCACAGTGACCAAGTCTTATTCTGGTGATAACTACAGCGTCTCTGCTGCTGTAACCAAAGCAATTATTACTTTTCCCTATGTTCTTTTATATATTATAAAATATCCTGCCTTTGCTTTCCTTATCCCATGAGTTCTGCCACATTTCCTTTGCTGCCTGGTTTATTACAGATGACTATTCTGGTGGTCCAAAATCCAGTTCCAATTTTACTTTTTCCTGCTTTATTGCGTTTTTAGCCACAATGTATGCTTCCTCATTTCCCTGTATGCCCACATGTGCTGGTACCCAAAGTTCCGACAGTAGAGCGTCTATTGTCTTTTCTTCTGTTCCGCCTCCAATTGTCGGCCTTGTTACAGAACATTATTTTATTGCAGAGACGCGCTGTCTCATTATCATTTGTGTGAACTCAGCACAGGAACTGTTCTCACTTAATTTTATGTCGTCATCAAATCAAAGTGGAAAATGTAGAAAATACACAAAGTAGTCAAGTTGTCTCAACTTTGAGCACTTTTTGACACCCACTCGCAAATCATGATACAAGTTTGACAATAAACTAATCAACATGACCAGCCAATACAATATACAATTAGGAGGAATGCCGCTGCTGCAAACATAAATAAATAAATAAATAGCATTTTAAAAAGGAGGGAAAAGGACTCGCTGTAAGATGAAAACATTATTGATCCAACACTAGAGGGTTTGTTAATTGAAATCATCAACATACAAAGCTTTTCTAACTCTCAGACCTGGAGACACTGTGCTGGAAAAACCTGATTCACTTTTTCATCACGCCCAAACAGATGTTTATACAAACTGTCACCCAGCTATGCTGCTGGAAGGAATGTGGAGAAATCATGGTTGACCATGTCCATATTTTCTGGTCTTGTCCTTCTGTTCAGACTCTCTGAAAGGAATTAGCAACAATCATTTCAAAAACTTTGATTTTAAAAAAAGAGATGAGATAAAATTGAATAAGACAAGACAAGATATAAGCTAAACTAAGCTAAGATAAGATTGGATAAGATAAGAGAAGAGATAAGCCAAGCTAAGCTAAGTGAAACTAAGATAAGATAAGATTGGATAAGCTCATGTAAGCTAAGGTAAGATTAGATTGGATAGGAGATAAGATGAGTAAAGTTAAGCTAAGATTGGTAAAGATAAGAGATAAGCTAAGTTAACATAAGATTGGATAAGATGAGAGATAAGATAAGATTGGATAAGAGATAAGCTAAGCTAGGTGTAGCAAAGCTAAGATTGGATAAGATAGGACTGATAAGAGATAGGATAAGCTAAGCTATACTAAGATCATTTAAGATAAGAGATAAGCTAAGATAGGATTGGATGGGTTAATTTATGACAGTATAAGATTGGATAAGATATGAGACAAGATAATCTAAAATAAGCTAACACACAAGCTAAGCTAATTTAGGTTAGATAAGATTGGACAAGATAAGAGATAAGCTGAGCTATGATAAGCTAAACTAAGATAAGGCTGGATAACAGATAAACTGAGCTAAGCTTACCCAAGATAAGCTAAGCTAAGATTGGATAAGATATGATAAGATAGGCAACAGTAACAGAGCAGAGGCTTCCTGTTGTAGTTAAACTAAGCATAGGAGCTGTTGGGTTGTCATTTACCCCCCTGACTGAATTTAAGGTCCTCATCAAAACCTCAAAGGTCGACATTTTATTTAACTGTGCTCATGACAATGTGTGAAACACGTGTTATGGAGATTATGTAAGGAAATTGCTCAACTTCAGCAAACACTGAAATGAAGAGACTCGGAGAACCACGGAGAAAAGTTACAGCCAGGGGAATTACTTTAATTGCAGAATACAACTCAACAACACAGGTTGTAGAAAACAAAGGATGCAGCAGAAAACAGCCCCGCTCTTCCAACTTTCAAACACCTTCATACTATTTTAGTGAGTGGGTCTCTGTTTGTTTGTGTGCGTGTGTGTGTGTGTGTGTGTGCATCCATGTGCAGACAGATCTGGGTGTGTGACCTAATTTCCTGGAAATGATTGTGCAAAAATTACTCTGGGACCTAAGTGTCCTGGCAGGTTTGATTTCCTGGAACTGATTGTACAAGAATTACTCAAAATTACAAAAGCAACTCCTTTAAAGGAGTCCCTCCTAGTAGCTCCAAAGTTCAACTCAAAAACAACTTCTTATATGGAGTTGTTCCTATTGCGAAATCTGGTCAACTGTTTCTCAGACCTTTTGCAACTGACATTATTTTCACCTTTGATATAGAATAATACATTATCTGCCTCTACATGTCTTAATTTGAGCAGTTTTTGAAAACCATTTGCAAAGTAGGGGTTTTATGCAAATAGAGTTATCAACATTACCAACCATAATACATGACAATACACAGCTCAGAGAAATGCTGCAGACAAAAAAAGAACTGGTAGGCAGGATGAAAACGTAAGTGATCCAACACCTCTAGAGGGTTTATTATTGTTAAATCATCACAACACAAAGCTTTAGTGTTTGGATACTTAGATGAGTTAAAAAAAGAGAACACATGTCTTTGGGCACAGATCATTAATATTCATTCACTTTTCATTACTACTTTATAAGCTGATCTGTTGACAGCACCATGGAGTACATCATCTACAGTTTAGTTTGTAGTCAGCTGTGGCATTGATGCATTTACAAAATACCAAAAAAACAAAAAACAAATTAAAGATCACACACACAAAACAAAGACAAGACCCAAGTTGGCAAGACGTGTTAGGAGGTGTTTTAAGTGTGTTTTTCAACGTGGTATTATTCTGTGGCTCCTCACTTCTCTGAGTTCCTGTGAATTTAAACCATGAGCCATGAGAATTGAATTGTCTCCTATATGTTTTCTGAAATACAAGGCTACTTGCCTGTATGTGAATTCATGTGCCTTGTTAAATGGGACCCCTTAAAGTATCTTTTCCCGCAGATCTTGCAAAGGTACGGCTTCTCACCGGTGTGGGCTCTTCTAATGTGGATTAACAAGGTACTGCTCTGTCCAAAACCTTTTCCACAGGTTTTGCAAGAATACGGCTTCTCACCTGTGTGGACTCTCATGTGGACTAATACATGATTACTACACCTGAAGTTTTTTCCGCATGTCTTGCAAGAATACGGCTTCTCACCTGTGTGGATTCTTGCATGAGCTTTCAGATTTGTTGCCCAAGAGAATCTTTTCCCACATGTGCTGCAAGAATATGGCTTCTCACTTGTGTGGGTTGTCAGGTGTTCTTTCAAGACAGTTCTAAGCCTGAAAGCTTTCCCACATGTGTCGCACTGAAACGGCTTCTCTCCTGTGTGGGTTCTCATGTGGCAAATCAACTGATTCTGATATCGGAAATCTTTTCCACATGTTTTGCAACAATACGGCTTCTCACCTGTGTGGACTCTTTTATGAACGTTTAGAGTTGACATATGACTGAATGTTTTCCCACAGGTGTTGCAACAATACGGCTTCTCACCTGTGTGGATTCTTTTATGAATGTTTAGAGCTGACATATGACTGAATGTTTTCCCACATGTTTTGCAACAATACGGCTTCTCACCTGTGTGGGTTGTCATGTGGCAAATCAACTGATTCTTATATCGAAAATCTTTTCCACATGTGTTGCAACAATACGGCTTCTCACCTGTGTGGACTCTTTTATGAACGTTCAGAGTTGACATTCGACTGAATGTTTTCCCACATGTGTTACAACAATACGGCTTCTGTCCTGTGTGGATTCTCAGGTGTTTATTAAATGCAGACTTAGACTTGAAACTTTTCCCACAAGTGTCACATTTAAACGGCTTCTCTCCTGTGTGGTATGTCAGGTGTTGTTTCAAGTCAGTTCTAAGCATGAAAGCTTTCCCACATGTGTCGCACTGAAATGGCGTCTCTCCTGTGTGGAATTTCATGTGGCAAATTAAGTAACTCTTATATCGGAAATCTTTTCCACATGTTTTGCAACAATACGGCTTCTCACCTGTGTGGATCCTTTTATGAACGTCCAGACTTGACATATACTTGAATGTTTTCCCGCATGTTTTGCAACAATACGGCTTCTCTCTTGTGTGGATTATCAGGTGTGCATCTAAACGAGACTTAAAGTTGAAACTTTTCCCACAAGTGTCACATTTAAACGGCTTCTCACCTGTGTGGATTCTTTTATGAACGTTTAGAGCTGACATATGACTGAATGTTTTCCCACATGTGTTACAACAATACGGCTTCTCTCCTGTGTGGATTCTCAGGTGTAAATTGAAACGAGACTGAAACTTGAAAGCTTTCCCACAAGTGTCACATTTAAAAGGTGTTTTACCTGTGTGAGTATTATGATCAATCTCTGATAAGTTGGGGTTGTCTACACGCTTAGTGTGACTTCTGCGCTTCTGACGTCTATTCTGTTGTTCTGTCTCTGCTTCTCCACTTGATGTTGAGTCTCCTTGCTCGTCTCCTTCCTCATCTTCACTCTCAGCTCCATGAGAGCTGTGACAGAGGAGCTGCTGCTCACTTTCCTCATCACTAGGAGTCACTAGAAAGGTCTCAGTCTCCTGCTTCACTTCAAGCTGCTCTCCCTCCTGACTGCTGCACACTTCCTCCTCTTCCTCTTTAATCTGTGGAGGCTCTGGCTCCTCTTGGTCCACACTGGACTTCCTCTCCTCAATACAGAGCTGCTGCTCAGCGACAACCTCCTCCTCCTTACACACATCTTGCTGTGGGAGCTCTGGAGGGACACACAACAAAAGGAACACATACTACTCTGATGGCAAACAAGAAAATGCTCACATGCGAGCTGGTTTTATAAATATTAGTCTTCTCTTTTGTGGTATTAAAATAATAAAGTGCTACTCACCTGTCCTGTATAACCTTACTTCCGGTTTCCAAGCTATATCCAACAGTCTGCGCTGACGGTCGATCTCTTTCTCGTACTCGACGATAGTTTTCTCAAAAACTCCCAATATTTCTTCAGCAGCAGCAGTTAGTCTCTCGCTGACAAACCCTCTCAAATACTCAACTGAAGACATTGTTGCTTCATCACAATTACAGTCACTCCAACTTTTCCTCATGGACAAACTTGCTTAAATTCCCTCGCGACTGGTGCGTTTGTTTACTTCCGCCGGATGTTACACTGATAAGTTCCGACTGTGGGGCGTATGTTGTTTTTTTGTTCCCCCTTTAATTGTTTAAAACCAAACCAGCATCAGTGCAGAGACGAGTTGTCCGAATAAAATTTGTTGAACTCAGCAGAGGAACTGTCGCCACTTAATTTTATGTCCTCATCAAATCCTGAACGAGTAAACTACACGAAGTAGTCAAGGTGTCTCAACTTTGAGCACTTTTTGACACCCACTCGCAAATTATGACATTTACATACAAGTTTGATGACAATAAACTCATCAACATGACCAGCCAATACAATATACAATTAAGAGAAATGCAGCTGCTGCAAACATAAATGAATTAATAAATAACATTTTAAAAAGGACGGAAAAGGACTCGCTGTAAGATGAAAACATTATTGATCCAACACTAGAGGGTTTGTTAATTGAAATCATCAACATACAAAGCTTTTCTAACTCTCAGACCTGGAGACACTGTGCTGGAAAAACTCGATTCACTTTTTCATCACGCCCAAACAGATGTTTAAACAAACTGTCACCCAGCTATGCTGCTGGAAGGAATGTGGAGAAATCATGGTTGACCATGTCCATATTTTCTGTTCTTGTCCTTCTGTTCAGACTCTCTAAAGGAATTAGCAACAATCATTTCAAAAACTTTGAGTTTTAAGATAAGAGATAAGATTGGATAATATAACATTGGATTAGTTAAAATGAGATAAGACAAGATAAGAGATAAGCTAAGAGAAGAGAAGAGAAGAGAAGAGAAGAGACAATGAGATAAGATAAGATTGCATAAAATAAGATGAGCTAAGCGAAGCTCAGCTAAGCTTAACCGGGGTCATCCCTATGTTTCCAGGGTTCTATGTTCCCCACTTACAACCCAAATAGGTTCTATGTTTCCCGGGTTCTATGTTCCCCGCTCAACCAAAAAGGGTTCTATGTTTCCCGCTTGGTTGAGCGGGGAACATAGAACCCGCGATACATAGATACGCTCCCAGCTAACCTAAGGTAAGATAAGATAAGATTGGATAAGGGATAAGCAAAGCTAGGCTAGGCTAAGCTAAGATTGGATTAGAGATAAGATATGCAAAGATAAGATTGGATAAGAGACAAGCTAAGATAAGGGATAAGCTAAGCTAGGTTTAGCTAAGATAAGATTGGATAAGATAAGATAGGATTGGATAAGATAAGAGATAGGATAAACTAAGCTCAGACAAGATCGGACAAGATAAGATAAGGGGGCGATCACACAGAAATGAGACGCGGACGCTGCAAAGACGGTTGAAACGCTGGAAGCGCTTATTCAATGCGTGCTAGCTACTGGTGTCTGATGCTCAAAAAGTTGAAAATATTTTAACTTTTCAGCGCCTACGCACATCTAAATAGAAGTGTCTACAAAAACGCGCATCTAAAAAGACACCGGAAAAACAGCCTTCTAAAAAGACGCATGAACACCGGTCAGATGTGCCGTATCATAGGAAAGCAATGGTTTTACTGGCGTTGCATTTCTGGCATTTCATCTCGGTGTGATCGCTCCCTAAGACAAGATAAGATAGGACTGGATAACATAATTTGAGACAATAGAAGATAGGATAAGATATGAGACAAGCTAACCCAAGATAAGCTAAGAGAAGACACAAGCTAAGCTAATTTAGGTTAGATAAGTCGGGATGAGATAAGAGACAAGCGAAGCTAAGCTAAGATAAGCTGCGCTACGCTAAGATTGTAAAAGAAAATAAAAAAACAGTAACAGAGCAGTGGCTTCCTGCTCCAGTACTGTGCTCATGAAAATGTGTGAAATATTTGTTACGGAGTGTCTTAATTTTGAGCAGTTTTTGACAACCATTTGCAAAGTAGGGGTTTTATGCAAATAGAGTTATCAACATTACCAACCATAATACATGACAATACACAGCTCAGAGAAATGCTGCAGACAAAAAAAGAACTGGTAGGCAGGATGAAAACGTAAGTGATCCAACACCTCTAGAGGGTTTATTATTGTTAAATCATCACAACACAAAGCTTTAGTGTTTGGATACATAGATGAGTTAAAAAAAGAGAACACATGTCTTTGGGCACAGATCATTAATATTCATTCACTTTTCATTACTACTGTATAAGCTGATCTGTTGACAGCACCATGGAGTACATCATCTACAGTTTAGTTTGTAGTCAGCTGTGGCGTTGATGCATTTACAAAATACCAAAAAATACCAAATTAAATGTAGCAGACAAAAAAAACAAGACCCGAGTTGACATGAGGTGTCAAGAGGTGTTTTAAGTGTGTTTTTCAACGTGCTCCTCACTTCTCTGAGTTCCTGTGAATTTAAACCATGAGCCATAAGAACTGAATTGTCTCCTATATGTTTTCTGAAATACAAGGCTACTTGCCTGTATGTGATTTCATGTGTCTTGTTAAATGGGACCCATCAAAGTATCTTTTCCCGCAGATCTTGCAAAGGTATGGCTTCTCACCGGTGTGGGCTCTTCTTGTGTGGACTAACAATGTACTGCTCTGTCCAAAATCTTTTCCACAGGTTTTGCAAGAATACGGCTTCTCACCTGTGTGGACTCTCATGTGGACTAACAAATGATAACTGCGTCCAAAATCTTTTCCACATGTTTTGCAAGAATACGACTTTTCACCTGTGTGGATTCTTGCATGAGCTTTCAAATCTGCTGTCTGAGAGAATGTTTTCCCACATGTGCTGCAAGAATATGGCTTCTCTCCTGTGTGGGTTCTCATGTGGCCAGTCAAGTGACTCTTATATCGGAAATATTTTCCACATGTGTTGCAACAATATGGCTTCTCACCTGTGTGGACTCTTTTATGAACGTTCAGAGTTGACATATGACTGAATGTTTTCCCACATGTTTTGCAACAATACGGCTTCTCACCTGTGTGGATTCTTTTATGAGTGTTCAGAGATGACATTCGATTGAATGTTTTCCCACATGTCTTACAACAATACGGCTTGTGTTTATTCAAATACCACTTAAACTTGAAAGCTTTCCCACAAGTGTCACATTTAAAAGGTGTTTTACCTGTGTGAGTATTATGATCAGTCTCTGATAAGTTGGGGTTGTCTACACAGTTAGTGTGACTTCTGCGCTTGTGACGTCTATTCTGTTGTTCTGTCTCTGCTTCTCCACTTGATGTTGAGTCTCCTTGCTCGTCTCCTTCCTCATCTTCACTCTCAGCTCCATGAGAGCTGTGACAGAGGAGCTGCTGCTCACTTTCCTCATCACTAGGAGTCACTAGAAAGGTCTCAGTCTCCTGCTTCACTTCAAGCTGCTCTCCCTCCTGACTGCTGCACACTTCCTCCTCTTCCTCTTTAATCTGTGGAGGCTCTGGCTCCTCTTGGTCCACACTGGACTTCCTCTCCTCAATACAGAGCTGCTGCTCAGCGACAACCTCCTCCTCCTTACACACATCTTGCTGTGGGAGCTCTGGAGGGACACACAACAAAAGGAACACATACTACTCTGATGGCAAACAAGAAAATGCTCACATGCGAGCTGGTTTTATAAATATTAGTCTTCTCTTTTGTGGTATTAAAATAATAAAGTGCTACACACCTGTCCTGTATAACCTTACTTCCGGTTTCCAAGCTATATCCAACAGTCTGCGCTGACGGTCGATCTCTTTCTCGTACTCGACGATAGTTTTCTCAAAAACTCCCAATATTTCTTCAGCAGCAGCAGTTAGTCTCTCGCTGACAAACCCTCTCAAATACTCAACTGAAGACATTGTTGCTTACAATTACAGTCACTCCAACTTTTCCTCATGGACAAACCTGCTTAAATTCCCTCGCAACTGGTGCGTTTCTGTAGCCGTTTCTCAATATGCGCTCTGGACTTCAGTGTTGCCAGATCTCGCGAGACAAATAAGCAACCAGACCTGTGAAAACAGGTTTACAATCTGTGGGGACGGATTTTAAACTGTGGGTACAGATTGTCATTTTACATCCATGTGGACAGATAAGTAAACTGTGCACAGTTTTGCCAAACTGTACCCACGGTACACAGTTTATTTATTTTTCTCCCCCTTGAGCTTCAGGACAATGACCACAAGAGGGAGTTAAACCACCTTTTAACATTATTTAACATTAGAAAACAGATGGGATATCAAATATAGACTGATGTACCGAGTACATTATATAGGCTACACAGTAAACCTCTGATAATTAAAATTTGCACACACAAATAAATATCATCCTGAATTCACAAATTCTTTATTTATTTTTGCTTTTTATGCACTTCATTTAACTTTTTCTTTTAGTTACAGGACTGATGTTTTCCTAACCAGAAAAAAACACATTGCCCTGATCTGCCTCTGATTGGCTAGTACTCGTTGCCATCAGGGTCAGAGCCATTTAGAAGCAGGATGCGTGTGGGAAAAAACTCTGCTGTCTCCTGTGTGTATGGGGAAAGGGGAGGGACAGAGGAAACAGGCAAGACAAACTATCCTACGTTTAAATAACATATCGAAAATATCTGCTTGACAACTTATTATGGAGCTTGGAACAAGCCCAAATAAGTAACTACGCTTTAGAAACTATGGGGTGCCGTTTGTAAAGTGGCTCACGCTGAAAATAACATCAACATTTTGCCACATTTAGCTTCAAACAATGTTTAAAAAAGTGTCGTGAATTTTTTAACGTCACCTTTTACAAATGGCACCCCATAAGAAAGCCCAAAAAAAACGCGACCCGCGACTACCAATATTTAGACTCACAAGTCAGTCTTTAGACGCTTTGCTTAACTAAAGACTGATGACTGATTTTGTGTTTAGATGGGCGGATACAATTTCAGAGTTTAAAAAACTCCCTACGTTGCAGAACCATTAGTAAATTTGCAGGGCGGTCCTTCGGTGGCTCGCTGAACTCTTGTGCTTGTAAACATAGTCCCACTAGAAACACGTGTAGCGGTATAAAATGGCTCAGCCGTGCTCGCAGAAAATGCCGTCAAAGTTAGTGGATGTTTGTCGCGTTTGCGGCGACACATTCTCACCAAATAAAAGAAACAAACAATCTTTTACAAGGCCATGACTCATCCGTCCGGCCGGACTATAGAGGGAATCGCCTTGTTGTTTACAAATAGGCTACTTCCGGGTAGAAAACCAGCAGAGCTTTTAGCTATATATATATAGCCTTTATATCACATTTTTCACATCACTGTATCACCGTTTAGACTAATCCAATGTTTGTAAAGTCTATAAACACAATGATTGAACAAACATTACTATTTCTGTGTGCACGTTTAGCTGGGCTAACCGTTAGCTGTTAGCCCTGTTAGTCGTTAGCGCTGTCTGTAATAGGTAATAACTCATTAAACGGTCCGTGAAAAAAAAAATTCCAGCGGATATCTTAGTTACAACATGATTGAGCTAGCAAAGCAGTTTTGTGTTGCTATGTGTGGTATTTATTCAGTTTTGGGAAATCACGATGTCTAAAAAGCATCAGTGTCTGCAGCTGACAGGGACAGCTAACACTAGCAGCAAAGCTAACATCAGGACGTCATCTGTTAAAAGCCTCCCGTTGTCGGATACGACATGAAACTACTCCAGTTAGCTCAATCATGTTGTAACTAAGACAGCCGCTGGAAAGAATATTTTCTTTACGGATGAGCACACGTTTGATAAAACGGAGTTAAATCTCTCGACATCCATTTTCAAGCTCTCTGTGTGTTTGTTTCCTTGCGGACGAGAAAAGGGGGAGCGCACATTTCCGAGAAGGCGTGTCCTTTTCAAAAATGCAAGAGGCGTTGCTTTGTTGCCGGCCGTTTTCGCCGGTGTGTTAAACACACTTTAGAAAGGAGTGTCCCCAGACTAAAAGAAAGCGGAGATCTCTGATTGTCTGGTGGCGAGACTAACCAATATTTGTAAGCGACTTTACAGAACAAGCCCAAAGTCGCTTATAATAAGCAGACTTGGCAACACTGCTGGACTTGTGTTCCAATTCAAAGTTCACATCTAGCCGAGTTCACTCCAAATTCCCGGATGTGTTCTCCCATGCCTCTTTTACCGGGGATGCATTGGAGCTGACTTGTGTGGACTTCACACAGCCAGGTATCCCAGCATGCATTTTGCAACAATCATCGGAAAATGGCAAGTGAGGGAAAGGCGCACAATTGTAAGTCGTAATTACCGATATGTTGTTTTGTCAGGGAATGTAGTGTTTTCATGCGTAGTTTAAACTTCAGACCCCTGGTCGATGTATTAATATAGAGCCCACTTAAATGTGAGGTCCGCTAGATGACAGCGGTGTCAGCGCTCATAGATAATAAACATGTGTGTTTGAGCGCTCAGGCTGCCCCACCGAGAGCAGCCTCTCTCGGGTAGTCCTTTTAAATTTGTCGCTGATATCTCTGTAGTGGTTAAATATGAAATGTAATTCATTTGGGGAATGTCTAATGGGCAACATTCAGTCTCAGTATATAAGATATATTCTTATATTATTAAATATTGTAACATTGTTAATTTAATCGTTCTTTGTATGTATTCTTTTGCTTATTTATGTGTTTTTACCATTCAATAATGATTTTGAGAATTTATTGTAATTCATTTATTGTCTTAAAAGATTAATTGTATTTATTGTAGTATTTATTCAACAGCATTTTAAATATTGATTATCTGATATGAATCGTATACCTGACGTCTGAAATGTGGCTGAATAAAGTTTTCCTCTTAACATCTGACCTGTTTGATCCCATTTATATTGGTGAGGACAGACTAAATGAGAAACTGCTGTCAGTATAATCCAGTACAGTTCAACAGCACCACCATCTAAAACTCAGCACTTCAATATAATGTTAGACTTCATACAATATTAAACTGCTTTTGTTTTTTTTTTCTAGGTGTACCAAGTAAACCGTCAAGTCTCCATAAAAATGTAGACAGAAAGCATAATGATGAGACAAATGCAGTGATGGACAGTAACTATTTACTCAAGTAGCTACTGGGGTGACATCAGCTACATTGGGCCATCAGGTAAAATGGACCATTTAAGGTTTGAGCGTCTCAGCTCTTTAAAAGTTAACAGCCAGTGAATGCAAATGATTTCAAACTGTTGCCACAACAGTACTTGACATGTAAAAATTGATTTGATTGGTCTATGGTTGCTATGGTGGGTGGGGCAAAGCCTCATATTGAGACTGCTCCAGAGAACTGCATGGTGAGTGCCCTGACATACCAAATCTTAACTGTCAATGATAAGGTTGATAATTCAATAAAAAAAACAAATGTACATATATAAATAATGATGTATAATACACACCCTGATGGCCTCCATCAGATATAATGCTAATGTTTTGCTAAATAAAATTATTTTTCATGAAAAAGCATTTTTTGTTAGTGGCCCAATTTACCTTAATGTGTTCAGGTAAATTGGGCCACACATTTCAGCTAAAATGAGCCACGTTCTGAGTTGAGTTTTAGCAAATATTTTGATGGTTCCTCTTATTAAAAAGTANGTTCAGGTAAATTGGGCCACACATTTCAGCTAAAATGAGCCACGTTCTGAGTTGAGTTTTAGCAAATATTTTGATGGTTCCTCTTATTAAAAAGTAGTAATATATAAATATATTGTTATATTATTGATTATTACAGGCCTCTTCACATTTTCCTTTGTAATTATGTATGTGTGTGTTAGCTCTGGTCCAGGGTGCATCACGAGCTAGCTCTCACTAGCTAGTGCTCAGTGTCACACATACACACACACACACACACACACACACACACACGAGAAAGGGAAAGGTGAAAGAGGCATGTACTGTAGCCTAGAAGTGATAGTGGAAGATGGTTAAGTAAAGTAACATTAAACTATAATTACAGTATGGCAAACAAGAAGGAACAGAGAGCAACGGAGAGGAGGAGAAAGGAAGAGAGAGGAAAAAGAAAGGATGTTTAATGTATTTAAATTTAATGTTCTATTGTGTTATGTGTGTTGATATTAAAGATAATTTGATTATATTATGAAAAATGACTGTTTCACTTTGCAGTTTGAGTGGCCCATTTTAGCTGATCAGGTGGCCCATTTTACCTGAACACTGCGCATCTCAAAAATGGGGGACAGCTGATGTTTCAACAGCTGTAGGGTCTTAACAATTATATTCATTATTAATCATAGGAACACAATCAAATGTCATACATCGTTTTTTCTTAGTTTCCCAAGTGATTAACCAAAAAGTGGCCCAATTTAGCTGATACCACCCTACTTAAATACAATTTGATGTACTTGTACTTTGGGTATTTCCATTTTGTGCTACTTTATACTTAGAGGGAAATACTGTACATTCTACTCAAGCTACATTTATTTGATAGCTAGTTACTTTTTAGATAGTTTGTTTTATATGTTGTAAGTTTCATATTTACAAGTTGATGTGCGTTGTTATAGATTAGACTAGTACACTAGTGAAAGGTGTTAAAATTAGTTCTACCATGACAACATTTAAATGCTGCTTGCACGTAGCCTACGTGCAAATTGATCAATTAATACTCAATACATATTCATGTATGATGATTACAACACTTGAAATTGGGTCACTCTGCATAATGAGTACTTTTAACTTTTCATTTTATGTAGGCCTACATTTTGCTGACAATACCCATAAAGGCTACTTTTACTCAAGTCAGATTTGTAGCACTTTTACTTGTGACTGAGTTTTTGTTCTTTGTTGTGATATTACTACTTTTCCTGGGTACTCTGTCCACAACTGGACAAACATACCAAACAATAGAGACATGCAAGCATAGCATGTCTCATCCTCATCCTCCGCCTCATTCTCCGCTGTCTTTCTCGGATCTGCCTCCTCAGCTGGGCAGCTTCCTCCTCAGCCTGCAGGT